TGTGAATGGTCACAGCTAATCACATGCACATGTCCAAATCACAGCTAAGCACACAGCTAAGCACAAAAAAAAAAGCTGAATGAATCGATTTCATTCAGGTAAATGCTTGCTTATAGCAAAGTAATTCTTTGCTATAAGCAAATTGTGTAAAAAAAAAAAAAAAAAAATACTGATCACTTCCCCAAAGTAGTACAATGTTACTATGGTAACATTGTACTACTTTGGTCATAGTAAAATATGAAAAAAAAATCTTAAAAAAAATTTAAAAAAAGTAATAAAAAATTAAAAATAATAAAAAAATTAAAAAAAAAAATATATATATTTTTTTTTTTCATACTGTCACCAGTCAGTGTTCCTGTTCACCGCCATGCCAGTTATATGATGACGCTGTACTGCACTGGTGACAGTATGTAAAAAAAAAAAAAAGTGAAAATAATTTTTTTAATTTTCTGAAAAATGACAAAAAAAATACAACTTCAAAAAACTCGCCATGCCTCTTATGAAGTACATCGGACTGTCTACTCTGCAAAAAGGGGTCATTTGGGGGATATCTGTACTGTTCTGACATTCTTGGACCTCAAGAAATTAGATTGGCTGTCAGTACTTCAGGATTGATCAATTTTCAGATCTATACCATAGTTTGTGAACTCTATAACTTTCCTACAAACTAAATAATACATCCTAATTTGGGTTATTTTTCACCAAAGACATGTAGCAGAATACATCTCGGCCTAAATTTTTGAAGAACAATTATTTATTTGTAAACTTTTGTAACAGAAACAAAGAAAAATGTTTTTTTTTTCAAAAATTTTTGGTCTTTTTTTGTTAATTTAGCAAAAAAAAAAAACCCCAGCGGTGATTAAATACCACCAAAATAAAGCTCTAGTTGTGTGAAGAAAATGCTAAAATTTTAGTTTGGGTACAGTGTTGTATGACCGCGCAATTGTCATTCAAAGTGTGAGAGCCCTGAAACCTGAAAAATGGCCTGGGCAGGAAGGTGTAAAATTGCACGGTATTGAAATGGTTAATAAAGTTTGATTATAAAAATACTAAATGTATTCTAGGATACATTATTGGAACAGTATATATAATACTCTGTAGAACATAATCTTCTATTACAGGTTAACAGATCATAATCTGCCCCAAACCATGAAACTTATAGTTCCTGTTTTTATAAATTAGGGACGATATATAGTAGGATCGTTGTTACAGCTAAAAGCGGCAGTAATACTTGCTATTTCTGAACTAATCAGATGCTGCCATAATAAAACCTACACTGGTTATGAGAGTAGTTGAACACAAAAGCACTGGCAGTTGAGTAAATCACTGTCTCTTACATTCATTCACCAGTTAAACATTTACTCCTCTTGTTAATCCTCTTTGGCTCATCTCCTACTTCTAGAAAATATTTGCAATGACCTATGCTCTTCCTTCTTTATAGGAATTTACTAATGCTGCAAGGGTACCATGTAAACATTTTCTTTGTTATCCTAAATATTATGCTAACTTTATTATCAGGATCCACTGTATTAAAGGGTATGTCCACTTTTGCAGGAAAAAAATATATTAAAAAAAAATTATATATCTTATACAATTTGTACACAGGCCACATTAAGAAAAAAATAGCTTTCCTTTTTAAATCTGCAGCTGCTGTACTTTTTTTTTTTTCCAACACAATATGGAAACCTGGAGGCATTCTGTGCATCATTGGTGTACAGATTTCCCCCACAATTGTCACTTCCTGCTTGTGTGTGACTCACTGATTTTCCCAGAAGGTTGCACGATGATACATCAACTTTTAGGCACCTCCTGCAATAGGGATTTAATCTTTGGTGAGATACTCCCAAAGTGTTAAATACTCCTAAAGGGATGCAGATCCTACAGCTTTTCTTTATTAGAACACAGATTACACCAGTTGGTTAGAATGAACCAGACCCTCCCATTCAGAATCAGTCCGCTCAAGATATGGTCAAACAAACAGCTAATTCTTTCACAGCGATACAATTTATGAATGTTACAAAGTTTGTTGAAATCCCCCAAATTTACATTTTTTTCAACAAAAGTAGGAGTTACTATTTAACCACTTGCCTACAGGGCACTTCTACCCCCTTCCTGCCCAGGCCAATTTCCAGCTTTCAGCGCTGTCACACTTTGAATGACAATTGTGCGGTCATGCAACACTGCACCCATATGAAATTAACAAAAAAAAAAAAAAAAGAAACAAAAAAAAAAAAAAAAACAAAAAAACAAAAAAAAAAACAAATTTATCGTTTTTTTGAGACAGATAGAGCTTTCTTTTGGTGGTATTTAATCACCTCTGGGATTTTTATCTTTTGCTATACAAACAAAAAACAACTGAATATTTAGGAAAAAAAAATGTTTTCTTAGTTTTTGTTATAAAATTTTGTAAATAAGTGATTTTTCTCCATCACTGATGTGCGCCAATGAGGCTGGAGTGATGGGAACTGATAGGCTGCACTGATGGGCACTGAAAGGCAGCACTCATATATGGCACTGATAGGCGGTACTGACTGGCACTGTTAGGCGGCACTGACTACCATTGATAGGTGACACTGAAATGCAGCTCAGATGGGCACTGATATGTGACATTGATGTGCACTAGTAGGCACTGATATGTGGCAGTTGCAGGTGGCATTGATGGACACTGACAGGTGGCACTGCTAGGGCTACACTGATCATCAGGGCACACTGATCATCTGTGCCCTGATGATCAGTGTACATGTCCCCTCTGAGGAATGCCGATTACCGGCTCTCCTCTCGAGCGGTCAGCATGACCGCTCGTGTGGAGAGAAATGTAGATAACCGGCATTTCCCTATTTACATGCGATCAGCTGTGATTGGACACAGCTGATCACATGACCGAGCCAACATCTTCGGCTCTTTCCATTGATCGGTGATCTGCTGTGTCCGAGGGACACAGCACACCACCGATCGCCGCTCTGCACGCCCCCGGAGCCGCGCATTTAGAGTGGGAGGATGTCATATGACATCCTCCCAGAACGAGAACCACCTTGTGCCCGTCATTTCCTTATATGGTGTGCGGGAGGCGGTTAAAGAGGCTTCCAATGCTGGTGGGGGAAGACAGCTGCAGGTATGAAATTTAAATGCCTGGAGGTGCACATACCTGTAGGAGCCTCCAGTCACAGCCAAATACCAGGTCATTCTGGCAGCCAAAGCTTGGACACTTAATTACTCAATTACTCAGATTCACCCACTTTGTGCCCAGGGCATTTTTTTGCTATTCAGCACTGTGCTACTTCAAGTGGAAATTGTGCGGTGATGCAACACCGTATGCAAATGAAGTTTATATCATTTTTTCACACAAATAGAGCTTTCTTTTGGTGGTATTTGATCAACCTTGGGTTTTATTATATAAATGAAAAAAAGACCGAAAATTTTGAAAAACAATATTTTATACTTACGTTTATAGAACATTTCCAGTTTAAAAAAAGAAAGGAAAAAAAAAGGATTCTACAGAAATTTACACCAAAATGTATTCTGCTACATATCCTTGGTAAACTCCCCCCAATAAGTGTGTATGCATTGGTTTGTGTGAAAATTATATTGTCTACAAACTATAATATATACACTATTTGAAAATTGATCAGTCCTGATGTACTGACGGCCAATCTCATTTCTTGAGGCCCTAAAATGCCAGGACAGTACAAATACCACCCAAATGACTCCTTTTGGAAAGCAGACAGTCTGAGGTATTTAGTAAGAGGCATGGTGGGTTTTTTTGAAGTTGCCATTTTTTTGGAAAATGAAGAAATTAAATAAAGTTTGTTTTTTTTTCCACAATTTTACCAATACGGTCACCAATGCAGTACAGAGTCATCATATTACTGGTGTGTTGGTGATCAAGGATAATGACTGATAACAGTATGTTTAAAAAAAAAAAAAAAAAAAATACGAATTAAAGATTACATTTTTAAACATTTTTTTTTTTTTTACACCGTCATCAGAGTAGCTCAGTGTCACCATAGTGAGACTATACTACTCTAGGTGGGTGATCAGGGATTTTTTGTTTTTACATCACTGTATAAAAACAATAGTTTTAGCTGTCACAAATCGGTTTCCCATTCACAAACTGCTTGCTTATAGTTGTGATCTGTGATTGCCTACAGCTAAATCACATGATACAGGTAACCAGGTACCATGTGATTGTTGTGGACCCATCACAGATCCCAACAGTAAGCAAGCTGTTGATGAATGGAGAGACCAATCAAAGCAGTGACATGATCTCTAGTTACCAGTAACAGTAAGCTGCTGTGTATGGTGGACACGGTGGACACTGCAGTCACTGCCTGTGTTCTCCTAACCCAGAACAAGCTGGTTCACATATATATACGCGACTGTGCATGCACCTGCCGTAGTAAATATATTGTGATGGGGCGGCAAGTGGTTAAAGAGCTTTAGGTCTCCTGTTCTGCAAGCTTCATCCAGGTCATCAATGGCAGCCTCCATCCTTCCCCCAATACAGCTTTCCTATAAAGAAATTACAAAGAACTCACTAAGAACTGAAACTTTTCTAGAGCACCTAGTTCTGCTTTCTGTGTGTAGTAACATCAGCTTTAATTCATGGCAGCATACAATTATCTGCCACAAGTACCCACTGTTTATCAAGTTTTTTTTTTTTATTAAATAAACCCAGCAAATGGTCGTATGTGAGCCCTAGAACTATTAAATGCGAGGTATATTTTTTTCACACAACTCAGTCATAAGCACTGCAGTACTGATACACACAGTATAAAGAAGGCATCTTGAAATGTGGATTGTACCAAAATCTTCACTGTATTTGTAACAAAAAGCACAATTTGGCTATGGTTTCTGCCCAATTTTTTTATATCATTAATATTTCAACATAGAAAACCAAATTATTGAGTCAAAAAGAGTAAGTAATATCTGGGATGTACTTTTAGAATCCATGTACAAGGTAGGCAATAAAGTGTCCCTGGATTTTAGAGATCAGCAATCTGTCATAAATCTTCCTTTGCAGGCGATGCTTGGTTAGTCTCAATGGAAGCCTTTGACTTCTTGGTGTCACTCTTTTTCTTCTTCTCCTTCTCTGGTTTATTAAGGTTCCTGATATTTGCACTACCATCTCCTCCTTTCCCAGGGTACACCTGTCCCTCTAGTGTTACATCTGCACACCGGTCCTGGCTAACCAGAAAGTCCTTCACCTCCCATGCATATCCACCATCCCGCAGCATGAAGATCACACGGTTCGGCCCCACAAGAAATCTGGTTAAAAAAACAAAATACACAATTGCAAATATAGCAAAGTGAGCTACAAGCATCAATTATCTGGCTACGCAGTCTGAAAAACAGGTTTAAATCTCAGTACAGAATGACTAATCTTGCACCAGGAAACAGCTTGCAATTCAACACTGTATTTAACATTTGCCTGAACTTTCATTTTAATAATGTAGTCAGGATCTGGAAGACATTGATTCAGTTGCAACAGTTACCATATTTTTCACTTCATAAGACGCACATTTTTCCCCCCCAAGAAATGGGAGGGGAATGTCTGTGCATCTTATGGAGAGGCCGGCCCGGTATTCCCCCTGTCGCCACCACCTTGTTAGAATACCGGGCCGGCCACTCGGCTCTTCTGTGGCAGTGCCAGGCAGGGCTCAAAGCAGCTGCCCCTTAAAGCAGAGTTCCAGCTGAAGGAAAAAAAAAAAAAAAATGTCGGCAGCTACAAAAACTGTAGATGCTGACTTTTAAAATACAGCCATTTACCTGTTTTTTTTTTTTTTTTTTTTTTAAGTCCGGTAAGTATGAAATATTGCATAGGAATATTCTGTAATTTCAAAGCATAATGCAGGCAGAGCTGTGAAGTGCATCTCATATTGCCTCCCCACAGCCCGTTAAATGGACTTTAAGGCCCAGGTGGCAAAGCAGCGTTTTTATCTTGTGACTACTGCGATTGACTATCACAGTAGTGACATGATTGGGAGCCCACCCCGCAGGCTTCCAATCAGAAGCCTGGACTAAGAGCTGTTGGTGGAGATTCGGTCAGTGTGCTGGGAGCCACAGTAAGCGTGCTCTCACCACACTACCCCAATACGACATGGACGCCTATATGCAGTGGCCTGGACATTAAAGCCATCCTTTCTTGCCACCACATATGCTTTACACATCAGGGCTTCACAACCAGGGTTCCTTGAGCAATGAGCAATTTATTCCTCTCGGATAAGTTCCCACTGACACCATTGATCTTTTTAGCTATCTGTAAGGAGGTAATTCATCCCAATGACCTCAACTGTAAGGAGAATTTTCCAACTGATCATCACACTAATTTATTAAGAGTTGTAGGTATAGTAATTATTAGCCAGGGTTCCCCGAGACCGGAAAGTTAATCAAGGGTTCCTCTGTGTTGAAATTGCACTGGATTGCACCAAAAGTAGTGCATGCACTACTTTGAAAAACACACTGCAAACCGTTCTCATGGTACCTCTCTACAATGCAATTCGGTGTAGGCAAACATACTGCTTTTGTGATCTGTGCTTGAGATGCCATTACAATTACATTCACACCCACAGCAGATCACAACAAGGGCAGTGCATTTTGAACACGGTGCGGGAAGTGCCCACGCAATGTGGGTTTCCCACACCACGTACTGATGTGAATGGGCTCTTGGTAATCCTGACAAAGATCCCATAACATTTTGCACGCTTACCTCTGAATGTCATAGTTAGCATTGAAAAGACTGCCCTGCCACAGGCTTGTAATTTCTTCGGTTTCCTTCTCTGTGGGGTTTCCAGACACAGTGGCAAAGACCATTATAGTCTTTCCCTTCTTGGTCATCTGCAGGATGCTCTCTGGATTACCAGGATCAAGTTTTGTGAAGTCTACTGGAGCCGGCTTTCTTTTGTGCTCTGGTTGATCACCTTCTTCTATATCATCATCTTTCTATATAGTAAATAAGAACATGGCATATTTATTTCAAAACAAAACTGAAAAAGAATACAGATGATGGATCATCAAAATATAAAGGAACACCTTTTTTTAATCAACAAATGTGTTTTTAAAGCCATGAAAAATTAAATAAAGCTGAAGTTTGGTTTAATTTTCTTTTGTAATTCAGTGTCCCCCATGTGTGGCTGGCTGTTGGTATAGTGTACAAATCTTCTCCCATTTGCTGCAATGTCTTCCCCACAGTGCTGATGTTCTGGCCTGACACTGAGGGGATAACATTACCAGCTGCAAATGTGAAACATCTGCACCACTCACCCGCCTCCTCCATTCATAGAACTCACAGCACTTTTCTTTGTTCTGTGATTAAGAATGGGCAGATGAAAGAAAGGAACTGCCTCCCCCAATCACAGAACACTGCATTCTGGGAAGAAATTAGTTCAATAAAGGACGGAGAAGGTTGGATGGTAAAACTCGCATCCGCTGATGTTAAAGTATACCTAAAGCCAAACTTTTCATCTAGTTTTGGACAGAGTAGAGATGGATTAGAACCCCTATTAGGCTTTTAATGCTGTCTGTGCCCCCGATAGGGAGATTCGCCCTCTGTTTGTCCTGTTTACCATGAACATTGAAAGTGGAAGTATAAGAAAACCCCAAATTTGGGGTTGTCCTCAGAAAAGTAATAGAAGGGAAATTTCCTAATGGGGACACTAGTTCTGGTGACCTGGGGGTCCTCAAAGAATTCCCTTACCTGTTCAGTGTCGCCCTATAGCAGAAAAACTGCTACAGGGCAGCACGTGTGCGCAAAATATACATGATTTCGCAGTTCCGGGTATTCCTACCTGCGCCACCATTCGCGGCCTCGGCGGTCAATCACTGGGTCCCGGCCAGTGATTGCCGAGTATCTCTGACAGGAGAGAGACCTGTGTATAAACAAGACAGATATCTCCTCTGTCAGCTCCTGCACACTGCTTTGTATGGCTCTGATAAGTCACAACTAGAATGTTTTTCAGCAATACAACATCTGTGTAAACACCAGCACCTGTGATGTTCCCGACTGTAAAGCCTGCCATACATGGATCGAAATTCGGCCAGTTCAGCAGGGACCAGTCAAAGTTTCGGTCCATGTAAGGGCACCCTGGTTGTACACAAATCTGTCAATCTATCAACTTGTGTTCAACCAGCCTGACGTGTTTTTCCCCGCAAATGAATAGTGCCACCAGCTATAGCCGGCAACACTAATCATTGTGTTCTGCCAGAACACAACAGTGCTGTGGGGGGGATTCCCCCATCAACATTAACTATGATGATGGTGGAAATCGAGGAATTTTCTTTCCTTCTACCATGGTGGAAGGAAACAAATTCAATAATCTATGGCTTGTATGTATATAGGTCTATACACCCCTTTCACACAGGCACCCTCTGATTCATCTCAGCAGGGGATCCACAGACTCGTGACCAGGCATCCAATGTGAAAGGGGCCTTATGGGCAGCAGATATGCATTCACTTATATGTGCCCACATCCAGACTAGGCCGCAAAAAGTGAACCTGAACACAAACATCCAACAGATCTGAATACAAACATGAGCACATCTGCTTACATGCAGCCACCCAAAGAGGTGCATTGCAGTCTGTCTTTACGAGTCAAAACCGGACTGAAAGGACCCGTGTGATGTGGATCTTGACCTTACTCCTCTCTCAGTTCACAAGCGGTCAAAGCAGTGGCAGTCTCAGACTCCCTGATCACATGAGAACCCAGTAAAGGCAGTGGGGGGTTAAGGGCCCCCCTCCCCACTGCGCCCTGTAGAAGTGGCAGAGTCACTTCTCCATTAAATCCCATTAAATGGCTGAGTCTATGATCCCAGTACAGCCACTTCAACCTGAGGACACACTAGAACATTCTAAGGCAGTGGTTCTTAACCTGGGTTCGATCGAACCCCAGGGGTTCGGTGAGTCAGTCTCGCGGGTTCGGCGGAGGTGAAGACCCACACCCGACTCATATGATTCGTGCAGTAAATATTCATTATTATGTTTTTGTGTGAAAATCATGTTTTAATGGTTTTGTTCTTTGTTCTTAATGGTTTTGTTCATTTTGTGCACCTATGTATAAATATATACCTAAATATATACCTATGTTTTGAATTTGAAAAATCATATTTTATTTTTCCAATTAAGAAGGGTTCGGTGAATGCGCATATGAAACTGGTGGGGGTCAGTACCTCCAACAAGGTTAAGAACCACTGTTCTAAGGGGACTATCTTCACCCTGGAAAATGTAAAAAACACGCTTACCTGTCCAAGGATCCTGCGCTGTCCTCACCTGGACCAGTTCTTTGCCAGTCCAGTCCCAGGGCTGTCATGTTAACTGTAGGAAGGCGGTTGTGACTCCTTGTGGCTTCATATTGTGCATGTATGAGCTCTGCTGTACCCTTTGAAGGGTCCCGTAGTCTTCTGGGACTTGTGACAAGTCCCAAAAGGCTGCGGGCAAGGGGAACGGGACTTCTGTTGCAATCACCTAGGCGGTTGGAGCGGAGGTGGGAGCAGGTACCTCCCAAACAAGGTACTCACTTCCTCCCCCAAAAAATTATTACAAATATTGCACAAGATGGGGAGCAGAAAAAAGCTGACCCCCCACCTTGGGTGAAAACAAGCTTTAAGCCTGGTTAACACCTGTGCGGATGGTGCCGCTGCTTCCCTGCATGTCACGGGGCACAAGAGTCCATTCAAATGAATGGACTCTCATGCCCGCACAAACGTGAACCTGGCCTTAGGGTCCTTCCACAAGGGTAGTCCGTTTTTTTTTCACCAGTTCAGTCATGTTTTTTTCCAAGAAAAAATGTATCAGCTCACGTCAGTTGCCCATCGGCTCACGTCAGTTGCCCATCGGCTCACGTCAGTTTATTTTACATACTTTAACAATGCAAAAACGAACTGTATGTCCGTTTACTTCTGTTTTTCATCAGTTCCTTTTTTCATTTTTAAAAAACGATAGAAAAATAGGTGTTTCTTCTGTTCAAAAGACGGATGTTAACATGAATGGATTTAAACAGATGATCATCCGTTTACATCAGCTAGTAGTCCAATGAATTGCATGGGTTTCTGTTTTTCATCAGTAAACAGACAGATGAAAAAAAGACATATGGAACGCCTGTGTGGAAGGGGCCTTAGCCCCAGTTCACATATATGCGGCCATGCGGGCCGCGTTTTTGCATGGGCACAAGAGCCCGTTCATTTGAATGGACTCCCGTGCCTGTGACATGCAGGGAAGAAGTCCCTGCACTTCCGAAAACTCAGCCCGCACGGGAACCTCGGTTCCCAGTACGGTTGCGGTTTCCAGTGCGGGTGGCGTGCCATTAGAACTAATGACACCCGCCCGTGGGTCCGCATTCCTCTGTGCGGGTGGTGTCGCTGCACGGATTTTCATGCAGATCCGCAGCGGTACCACCCGCACAGATGTGAGCATAGCCGTAAAGTATAGCTAAAGGCAAAACTTTTTTTTTTTAAGTTTTGGAGTGATCAGGGATAAGAACGCCGATCAAGATTATATGTAATTCTATAACTAAATCTTTTATTATTGTAATAACTATTATTTATATTATAAATTCTATAAATCAATCTCCCCATTAGGAGATTCATCCTATTGGTCCTGTTTACTTTCAACATCAAAAGTAAAAGAACATTCTAAACTTTAGGTTGTCACCAGAACAGTAATAGAGGGGAAAATCTTCCGACGTGGACACTAGTTCTGGTAACAACCAAGGATTTACTCACTTTGGAAGGATTTTCTCTCACTTCCTGTTTTGTATGAAGAGAAACGGAACACACAAATGGAAAAAAAAAAAATAAAAAACCTGCTAGGGGTTGTAACCCTCACTTATTCTATCCATGATGGAAGAAAATAAGAAGTTTTGCCTTTGGCGCCCCTTTTTAATATGGACAGCTTGGCCCGCATACTGATGCATAGAAGATCATGAGGACCTAGTCCTGAACCCCAACCACCTCCAGGGTCATGGCTCCTGCTATCACAGCTCAATCAGATCAGAAAGGAGATCAGCAATCGGTATTCTTCTAGTATCCCTGCTGAAGTCTACTCCTCTCTGTAGCTTTTCCTTCCCCATCCTCACCCACCGACCTCCCACTGCTCCAGCAGCCGGGCCATGTCCGCATCATTGTAGTCCCGGATGTCCTTCTTCTTCCTCTTCTTCTCCTCGGAGGCGGCAGCCGCCGCCGTTATACCCGACCACAAGCAGCAGATACACACACACAACCCGCACTCCGAGCGCCGCCATCTCTCCATGTGCGCATGCGCAGACTGCCAATCTAACAGGGGAAGAGGCTGAGCGACGAGCTCCAACTGAAGTAAAAGACAGTTAACTCCATAAATGTCGGGCAGCATTGGGAGTCACTGGGATTGCATGGGCGGGACGGGAGTCACCGGCATTGTGACGGGAGGGGAGGAAAATGACCAGGGGCAGACTGACAACTCATTGGGCCCCCGGGCAATAGGGGATAGTGGGGCCCCTGTGTCCTTGCCCAAACTAAAAAAACTATGAAAAAGGTACCAGGGGCATCTCATGGGGCCCCCTACTGACCCGGGGCCCTTGGCCAGGGCCCGAGTTTCCAAATGGCCAGTCCGCCCCTGAAAATGACCCTCAACGGCCAGACACCTTTACCGTGTATCCGGAGAACAATACTTAACCAGTGCAAGTCCGGACACCTTCACCCCCTTCCAGCCCAGGGCAACTCTCTGCTCTGTCACACTTTGAATGACAATTGCACAGTCATGCAACGCTGTACCCAAATTACATTTTTAGCAATTTTTTGAGACAGATAAAGCTTTCTTTTGGTGGTATGTATACACCACTGGGATTTTTTTTATTTTTTGTTTTGCTATATAAATGAATAAAGACCAAAAATATTGAAAAAAAAGTGTTCTTATAAAATTTTGGAAATAATCTTTCTTCATAAATCTTGGCCAAAATATATTCAGCCACCTTTTTGGTAAAAATAAATAACAGGAATCAGTTTAAAAAAAATAATTTTTCAAAAACAATTTTTTTAACATTTTTATTCATTTTTTTTATATTATTATTATTATTTTTTTAACATAATGTCACCCTAGTAGTACACAGTCACCATAGTGACACTGTACTACTTGTGGTGGGTGGTGAAGTTTTGTTTCACTAACCCATATAGGCTGTAAAAACAATCAGTTCTCCTCTCTGGCTGCATCCTTGTAGCCATTGAGAAATACTGTGAGGGCTGTGATTGGTCACAGCTTGTCACATGGTACAAGGTTGTTGTGAATAGCCTTGTACCATGTGACCTCTGTGATCATTCACAAGTAGTAAAAAATGATGTCAGGAAGTGACATCTTGTTTACTACTGTTCATGTGATCACTGATTGGCCAATTACTGATCACATGAATCAGGACCTCATACTGCAGTCCCGTACAGCGATCTGTGTTCCGGACACAGTGGGAACAGATGGTGGCACTGCACAGACAGGTAATGGATGCGCACAGGCAATGGATGCGGGGGATGTTTAGAAACACCCCCCACATCGGCAATGCTCTCGTCTGGCTGTTTATCAGCATGGGCCATACAGGAAGTGGTTAAAGGAGAAGCTCTTTGGCTGGGGAAAAAGATCCCGACATTAAAGTCGGGATCCACTACAGAGTCTGGAGCGGCACCTGGCTCAGCCTCTCATTAAGCTGTGGTCATGTGACAGCCACCCTCCCCCAAACACACACACACAGCCCAGCAGTCCAGTGAGCGTGGAGGCAGAGCAGACAGTGGTGACTGACAGTCACCGCTTTCTGCTCACAGCGGCTGTGAGCATTCAGCAATCAGTGGTCATGTGATTGCTGAGTCCTCCTCACCCTTAGAGTTGGCGGGGGCAGATGTAGCATCAGAGTGTTACTGCATCCACCTAGGTAAGTATGATTGGGCAAAAAAAAGCACATAATTCGCTTTTACAAAACGTACTGATTAATTTACAGGGAGAGCACAGAGGGTGGGGTCTGTAACTGGGGGCAGTGGTAGGTAGTTGGGTGGGTGGGGCCTGTCAGTGGTGGGAAGGGGTAGGTAGTTCAGGGAGTGGGGTCTATCAGTGGGGCAGTGGTTGGCGGTGGGAGGTGTCAGTATGGGGGGATATCTGCTATCCTGTGAAATGGTGTATCCCTTCAATAACACAGCCTGTAATATCTGGTATGCTGTGAAATCCTGTATCCCATCAATAAACCTGTCTGTGATATTTGGTATTGTGTGAAATCTCATGTCCCTTCACTAACACAGCCTGTGATATCTGGTATCCTGTGAAATCTCTAAACGTGCGGTTCATTTTGTTCCAAAACGATATTCGGACAAATTTCTTGTTGTTTGGAGATTTGGATTTATTCAAATTACAATAGTAATGAATTAAAATGAATCCAAAATAACAAAACAAAATTTAGTCTGAAATTTTAATCCAATTCGAATCAAATTCAAAAACAGGATTAGGATAAAGTAGAATCGAAAATAAACGAATAAAATAGAAAAGAATAGGACAGATAAGGATAGAAAATAAAAGAATAGAAAATAAAAGAATAGAATAAAATAGAATAGAAAATAAAAGAATAGAGTAAAACAGCATATAACAAAAAATAAAGGAATAGAAAAGAATACGAAAATAAAATAATAGAATAAAAAAGAACAGAGTAAAATATAATAGAAAATAAAAGAATAGAATAGACTAGAGTAGAAAATAAGGGAATAGAATAGATTAGAAAAAAAACAATAGAATAGAATAAAATAGAAGGAATATAACCGTCTTGCGAAATTCGAATAGAATACTTGAGTTTGAATAGAATAATAAAATAGAAAAAAAACAATAGAACATAACTGTCGACTTTTGAATACAATAGATTAGAATAGAAAAGAACAGAATAGAATATAACCATCTTCCAAAATTAGAATTTCAAATAGAACTAGAAAAGCTACAATTTCCGGGGAAATTGTGTGAAGTGTTCTTGCCTCCACCAGTAGTCTACAACTGGAGTGGGCGGAGTAACTGGGTGGAGTGGCTTGAGTAACTGTTGTGTGGTTGGAGTGGCTGGAGTAACTGTGAAAAGGTTGGACTGGGCAGAGTAACTTTATGGAGTGGGCAGAGTAACTGTGTGGAGTGTTTGGAGTGAGTAAAGATAGTAAACATTACACTAACCAATTGATTGATCAAATGTAAAAAGTGACCATGGCAAGCTTGATACAGTGAGAAATGCATTTCAACTTTTAATTATTTATATAGCACATTTAATTGCAATGTTGTTGCCCAAAGTGCTTCACAGTTACATTAAAAACATACATTTATAAAAACATTAGCAGCATTATCACCTCAAATACTCTCTACTGTAGAAAACTTATTTCCAAACCTTTAACCAGAAGCCGGCCAAACTGTCACCAATTCAAAATTAGATTTCAAATAGGGCAGAGAAGAGCAGTTAAAAACAAACTGCTCCAAATTGCTCTCTTCACTGGCGTCTTCAAATGGTCATAGTTTTAAAAACTATAAATCCTACAGCGAAGAGTTTTATATTGTGAGAATCACAAGACCCAGACCTACATTTTGATGCATAGTATGTCTCTGAAATATTAAAAATGAAGGCACAGTTGCAGTTTAGAAATTGCCCTTCAAATTTGCCCTTCATTTTTTAGTGGCAGCAGGGATAGCTGAACGTTTTGATATAAGATTTGTGTAGGTGGGCTTGAAAATGAGGGAGTGATGGCAGTTTAGAAATCATGTCCTGATTTTTCAGCTCACACTCTAGCTTTTGTCAGCTCCCATTCTAGTTTTGAACATTCCGCCATTCATTCCTATGGGACCAATTTCACCACAAAAACACTGATATTTTGTGAACCATTCGGCAAAACGTTCCACAAAGTAATAGCACACCAATCGGGAACAATCCGCACATTTCGGTATATTACTGTCTATGTAATGTAACAACTGTGGGAGGAGTTAGGGTGGTAAATTTGGCTATAATAATAAGAATATATATGTGAGATAACAGGAAGTGGTCTTGCCATGCAAGAACACTTAATAAATTTGAATGCTGATTCAATACTTTTTGATTTGATTCGAATTCTCCGAATTAGATCAAATGGAATTCAATACAACTGAATTTGGAAAATCTGAATCGAATTCAAAAACAAATAAACGAAACGGAATGAATTCTGAAAACAGATTAAACAAATTTAACTAAACAAAATTATTTAAATAACAAAACAAAACATTTTTTTCATTCTGCACGTCTAGAAATCTATCCCTTCACTAACATGGTCTGTGATATCTGGTATCCTGGGAAATCTCGTGTCTCCTCACTAAGTTGGCCTGCTATATCAGATATCATCAGGGGCGGACTGACTATTTGGAAACTCGGGCATTGCCCGAGGGCCCGGGGTCAGTAGGGGGACCCATGAGATGCCTCTGGTACCTTTTTCAAGTTTGGGCAAGGACACAGGGGCCCCATGATCCCCTATTGCCCGGGGGCCCCATGAGTTGTCAGTCCGCCCCTGGATATCATTTAAAATTCTATATCCCTTCAATAAAACGGTCTGTGATATCTGGTGTCCCTGTGAAAGCTGACAGCAGCCACTTGAAATCACAGGGATTGCCAACAGACTGGGATCACTCACAAGGGAACCGCCACACACTGGCTCAGCAAAACAAGGAACGACAGTCCCTTGGTGATAATGTGTTTCAGAGCCCCACCCATTTTTCAAGCCACCAAGGTGACCTGGGGACAGTTGTTGGTTCCCATTCCCCTTCCTGTTGTTGCTTTCAGTTGTCCATTTGTAGATTCTAGCGGCTGCTGCCAGTTTTCCCTTGGTGGTGTTCCCTGTGGTCTCTCATCCTGTGGAGCCCTCGGATGATGAGCAGTGTTTTGACAGTGACAGCTGTCAGTTCCTTCCTCCCTCGGATGCTCCTGGTCAGGGGCGGACTGACAACTCATGGGGCCCCCGGGCAATAGGGGATTATGGGGCCCCTTTGTCCTTGCCCGTCTGGCTGTTGTATATAAAAGACCGGACGGTGGCAGTGCAGGGTCGAGTGGCCATTTATAAACGGTCTCCCCGCACCCTGCTTGTGTGCGCTGTGAATGATCACAGAGGTCACATGGTACAAGGCTATTCACAACAGCCTTGTACCATGTGACAAGCTGTGACCAATCACAGCTCACTCAGTAGTTCTCAATGGCTGCAAGAATGCAGCTAGAGAGGAGAAATGATTGCTTTTACAGCCTTTATGGGTGT